ACAGAAGGAATGTGGACAAATTGAGAATCCAGCAGAGAGGAATGAAAACAGTTAGGGGGCTGGGGCACATGACTTCTGAGGACAGACTGAGGGAACTGGGCTTATTTTAGTCTGGAGAAGAGAAGACTGAGAGGAGATTTAATAGCAACCTTCAACTACCTGAAGTGGGGTTTGAACGAGGATGGAGCTAAACTGTTCTGTTTTTTGCAGTGGTGGCAGATGACAGAAGAAGGAGCAATGGTCTCAAGTTGTATCAAGGGAAGTTTAGGTTAGATATTAGGAAGAACGTTCTCACTAGAAATGGCTCAATGTCTTGCTGGGAGAAAGTATCACATGGGGTTTCCTAGAGACCTGTCCTGGGTTTGATATTGTTTAACATATTCTTTAATGATCTGGATGATTAGATTGAGTGCATGCTTAGCAAATTTGTGGATGACACCAAGTTGGATGGAGCTGCAGACACTCTGAAGGGTAGGGCTAGGATACAGAATGACTTGTATATACTGGACAAATGTCCAAAATCATCAGATGAAATTCAACAAAGACAACTATAAAATCCTGCACTTGGGACAGAATAATTGCATCCAAAAATACAGATTGGGGAATAATTAGCTGTCTGCAGTACTATAAGGAAGGACTTGGAGGTTACAGTGAACTAGATTCTGAATATGAGCCAACAGTCTGGTGTTTTTACAAAGAAAAAAATACAGTATACTAATTTATATCAATAGGAGTTTCACTTGCTATTCAAGGGAGGTGATTCTTCTGTTCTATTTAGAACTGGAAAGACTTCACTTGGAATACTGTGCCCAGTTTTGGGCCCCACACTTCAAGAAAGATGTGGTCAGATTAGAAAGAGTCCAGCAGAACCTAAAAAAATAATTAGAGGCCTGGGAAACATGACATATGAGGAAAGACTGAAAGAACTAGAACCCAGGGCGGGATTTGAAGACAGAACCTGGGGGGAAGGGTGGTAACAATGTTAACATACTTGAAGTTAATTAAAAAGGTTACTTGGATAGCTATTTTCTTGGTTGTAAGGAACAGGGCTAGAAGCATTAGAAGCAATGGAAGCAACTGCAGCCAAGGAAATTCAGGTTGGAGGTTAGAAATAACTTTTTGACAATGAAGGTGGTCAACCATTCGAACAGGTAACAGGTTACCTAGAGAAATTGTGGAATGCCCATCACTGAAAATGGTCAAGAGTGGGTTAGACAGACACTTGACAGGGATGATTTAGTCAGGAATGATTCTACCCTGTGTAGAGAGGCTGGACCAAATGACCTTATGATGCCTCTTAGCCCTACTTTCTTATAAACTTATGAATGCACAGGCCACAAAACTCTCCCAAAAATAACAAACCAAAACCTTTGGGCTCATCATTCCACTTTCCAAACACCACAAATCCTTCAAAACCCCAAATTCCACCCCCTCTCCCCCTGCAGCCACAGAGCCCTTAAGGACTACCAGCTACCTAAACAGAACCCCCTCTGACCACATTTTCTACCCCGGAGTTCCAAACTTCCATACCCCTAACTGCTACAGATTGGTCCCCAACTTTCACTTCCCCTAACCACCGCATAGCCCTCTGGCCACAATATTCTACCTCCACAATTACCAGGGATCAGCTGGGTCCCAACATTCCACACCAGCAGCCCAAGGAAACCTTGGGCCCCAACATTGCAACCCCATAACCATCACAGAACCTTCAGGTTAAACGTTTGGCTCCCACTGTAATGATAAAAGTTATCATTTAAAGATACTCTCTAATTTAGAAGAGTTGGGAATCAAGAGATAGTCCACCAGTTAGACGGTAGCTATTAGATAGAGACCAAGGTTCTGCAGAGATTGCCTACAGCTCCACAATAAAGCTAATTGTTTAATTCTTCTCATTTACGTATGTCTGTATCTGTTGAACCCAGTAATCACTACACCCACAACCAGTGGGGAAGCCTCAGGCCTAAACATTTCACCTATCAACTAGCAGGCATACATCTCTTCAGTGCTGTAGCAATGAAGTTTAGTACTCAAGGCAAAGCCCACAGTGGCAGCCTCCCCTCACCCCATGCACAAATCAAGAGGGCACAGCCCCCTCCCCCATAGTTGCTCAGGAGTGCACACAGTGGCAGGAGCCACCCTTCCCCTGTCCCCATGCCTCCCAAACAGGCTGCTCGCAGCTCTATCCCATACCCCATCCCAACTGGGCAGCACCTGTTGGCATCCCTTCACTTCAGCACCCAGGGTGGTTGCCCCACTTGCTGCCCCCGCCCCCCACCCCTTGCTACAGCACACTGGGTCTCTTCCACTGACCTCTCACCCTTCTGTGGCCTGGAAGGAGATCAGGAGCTGTCTGAAAATCTGTCTTGGTGGGGAATAAGCCAAGGGTTTCTTTTCTTTTTGTGGCCCTTGTTTTCATTCCTCTGATGAGAGTTTGATATAAATGACAATCAGAAATATGCACATACACAAGTATATGCATTTGCCTCTAGGGAGATGCTAACTTCCTCCTCAAGGGTTTGTGCAGGCAATGAAACAACTTGTAACACACTGCTTGCATTACTAGTGAATGGATAGGTGGCTACTGATAAAAGTTAACAGGCAAAGATATAGCCAGACCTTTTATTGTACACCCCAAAGTACAAGAACACTTCTCCCAGTGAACATCCAGGTAACTGCAGGAGCACAATATACCTATGATGGGGGAGACTCAAAAAGGGAGTGGAGATTTTCACTGGAGTGTGCCAGTGCTCTAGAGGGAATTAAAACCCAGAAGTTCCCGAGTCTGAGGGTCTTGTCTTTCCACACAGAGTCCAACTGATCACCACATTTGGGGTGAGGAAGGAATTTTACCCCATTGTTAGATTGGTATAAACTGTAGGGTGGGGGTTGCCTTCCTCTGTAGTAGAAGGCATGGTCCTCCTCCTTGTACCTCTTGAGTGTATTTTAACAACTCTTTTGGTGGAAGAGCACTGACAGCCCTCAGCTGCCTGCTTTACTGGTGGCAGGTTAAGGTGCTTTTGCTGTTTTTAATAATGTTGGTTGTGCAGTTTTAGGAATAGGTTAGACAAGTACTTGTTTGGGTTGATTTAGATAGGGATGACCCTGCCATGAGCCTGTCCCTTCCAGCCCTACTTTTCTATGATGTTATGATTCCAAGACCTGCCTTGCTTCCAGTGATACAGTTAAAGAATTGATGTACTAGTATTTTACCATATGTGTGTATGTATTGTTCACACCCACATTTTACATATGTGTGTGTGCAAATATATATGTCTCTGTGTGTGTGCATTTCAGAGGTGAATGAAGTTCTCTCTGTGTATTGCTTACATAGTTAGTTTGGATATACTTTTAAAGTGTGATATGGCATTCAAGAGAAGAGATACGGTATAGAATTTGTTTCTCCATGATTTACTATTAAGATCCTAATGAAAATCTGATGATAAAGGTCACATTAGAGGCAGTTTCTTATTTCAGTTTGCTTCTTATTTTTTAATATCGCTCTACGGATAGACCACAAATCATGAAGTAGTAGAAGTAGCTTTTGGTGAGAATTCTCTTAGATTGAATGTAGAAGTAATGCAAATCTTTGAGGTAATACATAATACCGCTTCTCTTTTCTTCTGTGGGCTTGAGCTTGTAGATCTTCAGTGAGTACTTTGTCTAACCCTTTTAACAACATATTTTCCTGGTGCCATACAGTTAGGCCAAGATGAACTACTACTACCCTCTGCCTATCTCCTCTGGGCCTGAAAACATTCCAGGAAGAGTCAATGTGACTATATCATAACACTTGGGGATAAAGCAGCAGGTATTTCTTCTCTTTTCTAATGGATACCTTATTCTTCTACACTGAAGACTATTTGTAAGTTTTACTGATAAAAGAATAGAACATTTATAAGAACGGGGGCACACCTACATGTGCAATTAATGGTATTTGGCTTTACTGCACAGTAGATTAATTTACCATGTAGATGGTGATGCTTTACTGCATAGTGGATTACTACTCAGTAATGCATCTCATGTAGACATGGCCCAGATGTCCCAACCCTAATATTTATCTTTCAGTTACACAAATTCTAACTCTGGAAAGATTATTAGACAAATAAAATGGATAAAAAAGTCATTCCTTCTCTTTAACACACAACTATTATGATTTTCTTTTGTTTGAAATTTTACAGGTCCTTCCTAAACTAAACTCCTATTTTGGATAAAAAAGGATGAAAGAACATAAAGATGTTATACAATACTGCCTTTCCAGTCAATAATATTTAAACAAAATATTAAACGGGCATTATTCTCAACATGGCTAACATCAGGAACATTAACATCAGGAATCCTAATAGGATTATGTCCATTTGTAATAACTCTCATCTCATCTAACCAACACATAGACATTTTAGTAAGCCCCATGCTGTAAGGCGTGTCAGCAACCAACAAGTCTCTGTGTAAAATCTCAAAATGTTGCAAACATTGGTTCAGCATTAGTAACAGTGGGAATTTTGGGAAAAAAATATAGCCAAGCCTTTAAACTTTGAAGTTAACACTTCATTGAGGTTCATGGGATAAGTGAAAGATGACATTGTACACGTTGCACTGAAGTTATAGAGAAAGTTTTTGATGACTCCTCTTGTGACTGGCATAGCAGCTCGTTCCCTTATAAAGATACCTTTGTACCATATTGCATGAATGGTTAGAAATGAAGGCCTAATTCCATCTGGCCCCTGCACACAGGCACCTGGAAGGACTGTACCTACACTGACATTCAAAAGCCCAATATGAGAGCAATGTCTAAATTCAAAGTGTTCAGGGATTATTCCTGTCTAGTGGTTCTTCGTGCCAAAGCAGACAAAAAGGGAGCAGAGTGTGCATGTTTGTTTATGTGTTTCCAACTACATCCATGAATGTAAGGAGCTATAAAGGGCAGAGGGGAGGTGGATTGTTTCTTTCTGAAATAATCTTCCCAGAACTGCTCTTAAGCTGGTACAACTTCTTATTTTTTGATATGAGCTGTTCATGCCCTCCATGATGTGCCTGTGAATCTAACTTTGTGACATGCAGTGTTTCCGTTTCTTTTTTTTCCCTTTTTAAGAAAAAAACTGACATAAAAGGAAGACAATCTAAGAATAAGACTAATTTTAGGTTAAAACATTTTGATGAATGTTTTAGCCCTGTAAGTCATTGGGTAATCATCCTCCTTCACTTTGTGGAGGTCATCTACCTGTGTGCATAATCTTCATCCAGATGAGCTGAACTCTGCTCCCTTATAGGCTGTCTCCAATCTGTTCTCTCTGAAGTTAATTGGTGCACCTTTTGAAGTCAGTAGAAATGTTGCCATAATCTTCAGTGGGAGCAGGACCCAGGCATTTCTTCTTAGTGATGTAAGATTTGATGCCTCCTTCCCCTGGGAACTAAAGATGCCACATCTGCAGACCTCCAATATCAGCACAGCACATCATTTTTTTGTGAAGCACATATTTTGATGTATGACTTACAGCTTCATAAAGCTATTTATTAATTACATTGCAATAATCAAATACGAAAGATTGTTACCCTAAAGTAAAACAAAGTAATATTATAGGTACAATGCCATTATAACCACACTCATCAGTTCAAATAAGCCACATGAATTGAATGAATGAACAGGTGCTGAACCACACCTTTGTATCTTTACATGACTCACTTGTTCTTGCAACTGAAAATTATTCATGATTGGGAGTAACTTTCATGTAAAAGCTTACGTGGTTTCACCTTTCTGCAAGACCAGATTTGAAAATAATGATGCTCAGTAATATATAAATGGCAGAAATATTATCATCTTATATCTTAAAATTCATAAGGAAATATCTCCTGCTGTTCTCACTTTTAAAATTTTCTTTAATATTGATTCACTTATGACGTTATCCAATTTAAGTTATTTTCAGTATTTATACTTTCTTTGTTTTCCTATTGAGTTTCAACATGAGTGGTTTATTAGCAGCTCAGAAAAACTCTGTGTCTTTTGACTTTTTTGTAAGATAAGACACATCCATATTAAAGATAGGAAAAAAGCAACAAAAGGTTTGGAGGTTTAAATCCATGTTTGGATAAACATCAATAACAATTCAAACCTGAAAAATAACAATTCAAACTCATAACATTAGGTTGGTTGGTTGGTTGGTTGTTTTTTCAAATGCCATCATTTCCTGATTTCAGGTAGGCAGGAAAACTAATAAGTGCTGTATTCTCAGGTTTTGAATCTTGTTCTAAAAATCATCACATCTGTCATTGTAGTCCACAGTAGGTCAGTAAATTGCCTATCCAGCTTATGATCATGTTGGTGAAATCATGACTTCCAGTTCTGCAAGATTTAGTTCATCTCTCCTGTAAATGAGACAGAGATGGATCAATAGTGAATCAAATACAAACTAGTATTTTGCAACTCATCTTATCACTTGTCCAGGCTTTGGTCAGCATTAATTTAAGGCAATAATTTCCATCCATAATAAGCATTCATCATCATCATCAAGCCAATTTGCAAAGGGACATTTTAACAGGAAATGTTGAAGTCAAACAATACTATGTCTTGATTCATGAGCAGCATATACGTCTATTTTGCAGGCCCAGATTCTGTGGTGGGGGTCAGGAAATAAAGGATACAGACATACCAGAAACATACCAGGAGTTAAACGGAGGTACAGTATACCAGGGGTTATACTTTAGCCCCTGTATGGTCACTGTTCAGTATGCACACTGTTACACCAGGGCATGTGGAAGCTAAACCACTGCAGGCTAGCTCTCTATAAAAGAGGTTTGTTAGCATAATATAGTTACTTGTTTGGGATATTTACGTATATAAAAAATGCTTTTGTTATTGATCATTGGATTTCAACAGTATCAGGACTATAACTGTGACTGAAACAAAATCACTTGAATATACAACTTCTGCATCCTATGTGACTGCTTTTCCTCTCAAAGATGGGCATCTAGGTGGCTGTTTTTTCTTGGGGAGAAATATGTCACTTTTCCAAAGTCATGGTGGCCAACTTCAAACTCTTTTCACGGGAGTATTTCCTTTTCAGAGTCTGAGATGAATGACCCATCAGTCCTTGTCAGCTACTGCTTCTGTGGCAATGAATGTACACCAAGCTCCTGTGCTCATTTGTTACCGAAGAGATCAGTAGAGAAATCCTCCAGTCCACTCATCATCAGTAAGGAGTAGGAAGAAATGTCATTTCTAGGGTGAATGCTGATATAGGTTACCCTTTGATGTGCTGAGTATAATGAAACAAAAGTCCCACTTTGCCTCAATTAGCTTATGCCCCTGCCTCTTACATCTCGGCACTTTCTTATCGCTGAATAGTCAGTCTTCACAGGCAAGGTCAGCTCCCAGACGACTGCACTGGGCAGCACAGTTGAGTAGAGAGAAAGCAACCAACAGGGAATATTTAGAAAATCTCGACATATACAAGTCCATGGGGCTGGATATTCTAGGGTGCTGAGGGAATTGGCTGATGTGATTGCAGAGCCACTGGCCATCCTCTTTGAAAACTCATGGTGACCGGGAGAGGTCCCAGATGACTCGAAAAGGAAAAACCTAGTGTCCATATTTAAGAAAGGGAAAAAGAAAGATCCAGGGAACTACAGACCAGTCAGCCTTACCTCACTCCCTGGAAAAACCATGGAGCAGGTCCTCAAGGAATCCATTTCAAGGCATTTGGACGAGAAGAATGTGATTAGAAACAGTCAGCATGGATACACCAAGGGCAAGTCATGCCTGACCAACCTGATTGTCTTCTATGATGAGATGACTGGCTCTGTGGATGTGGGAAGAGAAGCAGATGTGGTATACCTTGATTTTTATCAAGGCTTTTGATACAGTCTCCCATAACATTCTCACAGGCAAGCTAAGGAAGTACAGGCTGGATGAATGGACTGTAAGGTGGATAGAAAACTGGTTGCAGCATCGGGCTCAGAGGGTAGTAATCAATGGCTCAATGTCTAGCGGCAGCTGATATCAAATGGAGTGCCCCAGGGTGTCAGTCCTGGGGCCAGTTTTGTTCAATATCTTCATCAATGACTTGGATGTTGGCATATAGTGTACATTCAGCAAGTTTGAAGATGACACCAAGCTGGTGGAGTAGTAGAAAAACTGGAGGGTAGGGCAGGGATCAGAGTGACCTATACAAATTGGAGGATTGGGCCAAAAAAGAAAACCTCATAAGGTTCAATAAGGACAAGTGTAAAGTCCCACACTTAGGACAGAAGAATCCCATGCACCAGTACAGCCTGGGGACTGACTGGCTGGACAGTAGCTCTGCATAAAAGGACCTGGGGGTTACAGTGGACAATAAGTTAAATATGAGCCAGCAGTGTGTCCTTGTTGCCAAGAAGGCTAATAGCATACTGGGATGCATTGGTAGGAGTTACCACCAGATCAAGAGAAGTGACTCTCCCCCTTATTCAGCACTGGTGAGGCCACATCTGGAGTACTATGTCCAGTTTGGGGCCCCCCACTACAGAAAGGATGTGGACCAGTTGGAGAGAGTCCAGTGGAGAGCAACCGAAATGGTGAGGGGTCTGAGGCTCATAACTTCTGAGGAGAGGCTGAGGCAACTGCACTTATTTAGTCTGGAGAAGAGAATATTGAAAGGCGATTTTAATAGCATTGTTCAACTACCTGAAGGGTGGTTCCAAAGGGGATGGAGCTAGACTGTTCTCACTGGTGGCAAATGACAGAACAAGAAGCAGTGGTCTCAAGCTTCATTGAGGGAAGTTTAGCTTAGATATTAGGAAAAAGTTTCTCATTAGGAGGCTGGTAAAATACTGAAACAGGTTACCCAGAGGAGGTTGTGGAATTTCCATCCTTGGAGGTTTTTAAGACCCACCTAGACAAAGCTTTGGCTGGGATGATCTAATTGAGGATGCTCCTACTTTGAACAGGGGGTTAGACTAGATGACCTCCTGGGGTCCCTTCTGGTCCAAATTTTCTATGATTCTATGGTACAACCTGAAACTGCAGCCTGCTCTTCCCTCAAGAATAAATCCTCAGTATCTAGTGTCTCTGGTACCACACTAACTGATCTCTTCATGGTACAGATATTTCCCAAGCTGTCTTTCTTAACATTCAGTTTCCCCTTCCTGCTGCACATTCTTTCTGTCATTCCTCAGCTGTCATTCTACTGCCTGCTCAGGTTGTAGGTGGGATGTGAGAGTCCCCTGGGACTGCAGACAGAGAATCTCTCCTTTGGCAAAAGTAAATTCATTTTGTCTCTTCCCTTTTGAAAGTTGTGTGGAGGTGGATCCTCACTCATATATCATACTTTTCCTCTTTTGCATCCTACTAGTTTAATACAAAATCCAGGGATTGCTTATGTAAGTACCAATCTCCAGGATGCACAGGGAACATTTATCCTGGTTTCTACTCCTATAGCCCATATCTGTCACCTTTGCAATATAAGGTTTTACTCATATTTAACTTCTTGGAGTTTGCAACCTAATAGAAGATTTCATTTCCTTTCCTCCAGAGTTAGAACTCCCACTTCTACAACACTGTAGGTCCATTTTAGAGGGTCAGTAGGCATAGTCTTACAGTGTGCACTGTCAGGAACATGACAGGAAAGAACAATACCAGCAGAAGATTGAAAACCAATTGATTCCAATAGTGCTATCTTCAGGTCTCCCACACCCTAGTAACCGCTGATGGGGTTACCAACTCCTCCTTTGTCCATATTTTGTGGGAAACCTCATGTGTTAGGTATGCTTTTAGCATGTTTGACTGGTTGGGGTCTTCAGGTGGTGCAACATCAAGTTTATGACTAAGAATAGGTCTTAGGGGAGACAGTTGCTGAGCAGCTTGGCACTTTCAAGATTAAGGTACCCAAAAGCAGAACAGTGGGCAACTAGTAAAGTGTAATTTCAGCAATAGATTTTAGTCATAATCAGGATTAGGCAGTAGGGGTATGCAAAATGGGCCATATTCAATTTGGATTCGACCCGAATAGGGGACAGTGATTCGATTAATTTATTCAGATCACTGTCCTGATTCAATTCAGCCAAGTATGAATCTGAAGATTTGATGCTGATTCAGAGAATCAGTGATTCCACCATAGACACGGCTTTAAATGTTTTTTCTACATACCTCAAGGTACCAGTCACAATTCGTGAACGCTGTGATGCTGGGGCAGATGGAGCATCTCACAGGAGTGCCGGTGGGGGGCCCCCACATGCTCAGCGGCGAACCCAGAAGTGGACTGGAAGTACTTCCAGTCCACTTCCGTGTCAGATGCTGAGTATGCAGAGGACCCCCACCCCGCGCCTTCCCCCAACTCAGTGATCAGCTGTGGGGGGACCCCAGGTGCCCCCTCCAGACCCAGGAGGCACCAGTTGCTGAGCCGGGGGCTGGGGAGGGTCCTCTGTGCACTACTTGGTGTACCCGGAAGTGGACTAGAAGTGCTTCTGGCCCACTTCCAGGTCCACTGCTGAGCATACTGGGTGTCCCGTCCCCCCCAAGCTCCTGTGGGATGCTCCATCTGCCCCAGCATCTCAGCATTCACAAGCCACCCGGTACCCCCACGGTATGTAGAAAAAACATTTAAAGCTGTGCATGAGGTATGTAGAAAAAACATTTAAAGCTGTGTCTATGTCAGAATCATTGAATCTCTCTGAATCAATTCGGAGGGTTCTGATTCTGATTTGGAGAGATGAAAGGATCTCCTGATTCAATTCAGATTTGGAGATTCGACCACTGAATAGGGCTGAATCGAATCAGTGACCAAAGCTTCGCACAGCCCTATTAAGCTGCAGCTGACTGGTGGGTCTTGAGGATTGCCATTATGATTTTGTGGGGATTTTGAGCACTGAGTTATTTTTGGTATGTCTTATCGACATCACAACCTACTTAAGAAGACCTGGCATTTAGATATATCCATGCCTGGATGACTGAATGGCCAAGGAGATTTGCATGATCTCATGCTTCTTAGCACACAGGGGCACAAAATCAGCAGTATAGAATTCATAGGAGTCCTCTTAGATTCAGAGTTAGTAAGAGCTTATCTACCATAGGAAAGGTTCCAGACCAGACTGGGTCTCATCAGTCATCAGCAGAATCATTCAGAAATGTCCTTCACAGCATGCCTCAGGCTCCTGGGCCACATAATCTCCTGTGTCATTCACTGTCTCAGACTTCAACACAGCTCTGTGCAAAGGTACTTGGAATCAGGTATGTTTATCCACTACTTGGCTGTGAAAGTATAACATCGAGACTATCTTCTCCTTACTACCGCGAAAGGACCCCCTTAATGTTTGCAGTGGAGTACCATTTTCTGCAATTCTCCCTATCTAATTTTTTTCTAAACACTACACTCCAATAAGGAACTCGTAGA